TGTACAAAGACTTTGAAGGCCACCAGGGAGTGCCTGGAGACATCAAACTCTTGCAGCAAGCCTTGGCCCAAGGGCACTCAGCGCTCCAGCTCCATGAGTCGAGAAGACCAGCTTCCTGGCTGGACACATGCTCAGGGAAATTCCACAAGACAGCAAGCCTCCTGCCCAAAGACGGCATCACCTTTCTTGTCCATGGACTGGGAATCAATGCACTAGCCACTGCGGCTCTCTTGATCCTTTGGCCTCTGCTGCCACCATTTCTCTGTCATGGCTTTTTGTTGTCTCTTGTCTCTGATGTTACAGCACGCTCTCTGTGTGTCTCCTGTTTTCAGCAGAGGGATTCTGGGCCTGAAGGATGTGCTCCACTCCTAACTTCTCCTGCCTCTGCAATGGTTCCTTTTAAACCTAGCAAGCCCCAAACCAAATTCACTGCCGTAGAAACAATTCTGACTCATAGCGAACCCACAGAGCAGCACAGAACTGCCCCTGTGAGTTTCAAGCCTGTAGATGTACAGCTATCTTTCTCCCATGGAGCAGCTGGTGGGTTTACACTGCTGACCTGCATAGCCGTCCAACATGTGACCCAATATGCCACCAGCTAGCCACGTGGCAATACTGAGCAATCCGCTTGTTGCGTGATTCGATACCCAGAAGGGTGCCATGTACCTTATTTGCACTGTTTGCAAGCCATCCCATCCCCTTGGGGAGCCATAAACACCAGTGTGCGAGTGGGAGTTATACACCCGTGGCAAGAACAATTCTATTTCTTCTGGAAAGAAGGTCTCCTGTGTGCTGAGGACTGTACTGCAGGTTCCTTCGTCCTTTCTCTGTGTCCTCCTCTGTCCTCTTCATTTCCCCAACAGTTGGCCTAACTGCCAGAAGATGGGCCACATGGGGGGAAAGTCCTGATGGCCCAGAGTAGAGTGCCAAACCTGACCAGGGTGAAGCCGACACGGGAGTCAGATCCCCAGCAAGATGAGGAGGCGGTGTCCACATACGGGGCAGCAGGGGGAAGCAGCCAGAGCCAGGGGAGTGTGTGTGTCTGTGTGTGTGTTGAGGAACGCATCTCTATGGGCTGGAGGGAGAGCAGTGGTAGCAGGGGAGATTGGTTAGTTAAAGTCACTATCCCCTGCTTAATGAAAACCAGGTTTCTCACTGCCAGACACCACTAGAGAAAGGAGTTATAAAGATGGAAAGGGATAAAACTAGCATGAATCCTGTGGTTTTGGAAATGAATCGGCAGAATCCGTGTGAACTCATGGTTGTGTATGTGAATCTATAAATATATGAATATATGTAAATATGTAAATGTATATACAGCTATATAACATACACAAACTCACTACCCATCAGCTGCTCTGTGGGAGAAATACACAAACACACATACACCATTGATTCCCTTGCTCACCTGTTTTCCAGATCTTAGTTTCTAACTAGTATTTCCCACTACAAGGAGCCAGGGCCCTTTGGGTAAGTGGGTACAGACTTCCGGGGCCTAGGCAGGACAAGTACAGGAGGAGTTTGGAACATCCTGTCATGCCAGAAAACAAAGTCGTCAAAGAACAATGAATCCATTTCAAAAGGACACAGAAGCCAGTTTGAAGGGGGCTCCGCCGGCCAAATCTGGGACAATACTATTTGTTCTGAACAACAACAAAGAGCTCTCGTGGCGCAGTGTTTAAAGTTCTCAGCTGCTAACCCAAAGCTCAGCAGTTCAAACTCACCAGTGACTCCACCAGTTTGAGAAAGATGAGGCCGTTTGGTTCTGTAAATACTAATAATCATGGACCATAACCTAGTGAATAAAATAGTCATTCATGAGCCCACATGATATAAATATATTGAAAGCTTGGAGAGAGGCATGCGATAGTGACATGGTCTCAACAAGTACGGCCACATAAAAGTACTTATGAATTACAAAGGGAAAAGTGTAACTTCACAATGGAGACACTTGGAAGGCACCACCTTAGTCACGAGATCAAAGTCAGCTCTACCAACAATTGCCAGATCCCCACTCTGAGCCACCTGAGGCAGGGAGCAGAATATGGCAGTGCTCCTGTGCTCTTCCTGTCAAGCATACGTGGGCAAACAGTTCATGTGCTTGGCTGCTAACCAACAGGTCGGAGGTTTGAATCCATCTGAAGGCAGGCCATCTACCATGGAAAGCCCAGGGATCACAGGGGTCACGCTGACACTCACAGCATCACCATGAGCAGTCAGAAACCTGTCATCTTCAACAGCGACAAGGTCACGGAAGTCAGGGAAAGCCAGAGGAATTGCTGCAGACTGAAGGAGACTACAGAGAGAAGACAACTAGATGCCATGCCTGGCTCATGGTGTGAGGGCTTCTGCGCTGAAGTGGTGGGTCTGAGTAGTAGACGCTAGTTATGCATTGATGCTAATTTTCTGATGTTGATGGTTGCGTTCCAGTGTCCTCCTTGCTAGGAAATGCATGAAACCATTGGTCCTAGTGGGTTAGTAGCATAATCAGACTCTCCTAAGAAGGCATCTATAGGGAGAAAGAAATCTCCCACACATGTGCAGACGACATAATAAAATGTTTGTTGAATTTATGGATGCACTAAGTCTTTTGTGTTTTCCACTGGACTGCAGTAGATAGAGCAGGGGAAATTTAAAATGTTGAGGGAACGTCTAGGTTTTCTTAGCACAGGTGAAACAATAAGGAGAAAATGTACTCTTTGACTTTGGGAGATTTCTGGGCCAGACTGGGATGCAGTTGGTGCCATTCAGACTAAGGGATGGCCACTGGGTGGGAGGAGGGTGAGCACCCGAGCCTGTGATTGCTGCACAGACACCCAGGCTGCTGGCCAGGGCCAGAAAGAAGACTCAGTATTTCCAGCCAATCATGAAGGATTTTATGGAAAGAAGCATCGATGGGTGGGAACAGTCATAAGGAGCCCCTGAGAGATTTGAAGCTGAGCATTGACAAACAAAAGCTACTTTGGTCTAGGAGAGGTGAGGTTGGTGGAAGTTTACTGAAGGCTGGGAGAAGACTGAAGTCCCTAGGTGGTGCAAACAGTTAAGACTCCTTGCTCCTAACCAAATGTTTGGCCAAGCCCACCCAGAAGCACCTCCGAAGAAAGGGCTGGCCATCTGCTCTGAAAACCCAGCCCCCGGACAACATCATGGAGCCCAGTCCTGCTCCGACACACTGAGGGTTACCATGTTCACTGATTTTCCAGGAAGGCACTTTGGCAGCTAAACCGGGAACTTTGAAAGATGTAGATATATTTTAATAAAACGTGGCATGTTTGCATTTTACAGTAGCGCGTTTTGGGACTCGTTAACCCAAGGTTATCAAAGGGAAGCCTGGATGAATATTAGGGGATGTTCATCGTTTTTGAAACTGACAAAAGCCAGCTTTCAAAAGCAGAACCAGCGACTGGCATCCCGACAGCAGGGCTGTTTTCTGATCTTGCACAAGGCACAGCAGGGTGGTAAAAGATGAGAACAGAAGTCTGCAGGCTTTTCCTATAAAGGTCCAGACAGTAAACAGTTTAAGCTTTGCAGGCCAAACAGCCTCTATTGCAACTTTATTTAGAGATATTGACATTTTAACTTCATGTAAATGTCACATGTCACAAAATATCCTTCTTCCGATTTTAAAGGTGTTCTTGTATCACAGGTTCTATAAAAACAGGTGAAAGTTCGATCTGTTATTGTTAGAATACACATGGCAGAGTCCGGCGTGTTCAATTCGGAGACATTGATAACATGCCCCGAGTTGTGCCACTATTCTCAGTCTTGAAAACCTTTTGCTCAGAGTCAGGGATTGGCTGCTCCCTAACTTTGTATCCTTGGTCAGGTTCTGTAACCTCTTTGATCTTCTTGCTCTGTGTTTATTTCCTATGATGGTAGCATCATTATTGACCTTGCTAACCACAAGGTCAGCAGCTGGGAATCGGTAGGTTTCTGGGACGGTTTTCCTCCGTTCTTGCTTCTCAACGCTGGAAGAATCCACGCGGCAGAAGCACTTTTGCAATCCAAGTAACTTTTATGAGCGAAGTGGAAGTTTCAAGTAATACAGTCTCAGATACCACAGCTATCCCTGGAAAGCGTGCAAGGCTGCACCGCTGGTCTGTGGGAAAGTTCAAGGCTGAAAATGGCTACTT